GAAATGCCAAAGTTCTAGCTAGTGATACCTGTTGTCCGATTTGACCAGGGGTTCTGGCCAACTTTAAAGTTGGCGGTGTAGTTTTAAGAGACCATCAGTAGTGGTATTCTGGCCCTTGTGGCTACTAGTGGTCGATCGCAGAGATAAGAAAAGATGAGGAATTTGACTGTGGGATTGCACTGACAGCTGAAACAAAGCGTGATTACATATCCACACCGAAAGCTGCTACCTTGACGTGGTGGTCGGGCTTGAACACCGCAATGATCTATTCAAGCTATACTGGCTGAGACTTATGTCTCTTGAGGTCCTACCATGCCAGGCAGGTTGTTTGGATAGCGGTTAAACAAAAAGCAGCTACCCAATCCAACATCATGATCAATACAAAATCACAAAATTTCATGCCGGATCGGCCGTGGCCCGGATTAACAACGACCGCGCTTCCTGCTGCCGTGTCACAGGGCAGGAGTGATAAATATGCTACCAAACAAAAAAGAACGAATAAAAACAGGCCGCGTGTGACCGGCCTCAAGCAGTTGTCCCCTGGGCTCTGCGGTCACGCAACCAACTTCCACGGTGTGGGCAGCCGGGAAGTAACAATCGCCCTCACAATCCGAAACGCACGCGAAACCTCTCTATTACTCACTCATCTTTGTCTTCATCTTCATCTCTATCATCTTGCCTTCCTTCCACTGATGCAACTCCTCGACTTGATAGCTCTCCACTTCCTCTCCACTCTGCGTCCACTAAAAACGATGGAAGCCAAAAAACCACCACCGACAGCCTCTTAAAGCCGCGCCACCAATTTCATATAGGAGCTCTTAATGTTAGGACACTTTGCCAAATAGGACAACAAGCATCACTAGCCAAGACCCTGGCATCACGAGCCATTGATGTATGCTGTGTTTCAGAAACACGCATACAAGACCCAAGTGTGGTTATTCACCTAACCCCACCTGGCCAACAGGTTGAATCTGCAAAATTCACCTTGAGGGTGTCAGGAGATGCCACAGCTAGTTCACGAGGATTAGCTGGCGTAGGGATAGCTTTGAGTACTAGGGCAGAAAAGACATTGCTTGACTGGATCCCGGTAGATAGCCGAATGTGTGCTGTCCGTCTGAACGGATCAGTAAGAAGGAGAAAGGACTGCACTACTCGCCGATGCCTTTTCGTAATCTCCGCCTACGCCCCCACTGACTGCAGTTCAGATGAAACGAAGGATGAGTTCTACCAAAAGCTGTCTAGTTTGGTGCGAAAGGCTAAACGCTCAGACATAGTCGTTCTAGCTGGTGACTTTAACGCTCAAGTAGGGAAATTGTGTCAATCTGAGAAGGATGTCGGTGGCACCTATGGAGTTCCGTGCCAGCGAACCGACAACGGTGACCGTCTCCTACAGTTCTGTTCTGATAATCATTTGTTTCTTGTAAGCACTAACTTCAAACACAAGGAGAGACACTGTTTGACTTGGAGACCCCCTTCATCAAACCAACGCTGGACACAAATAGACCACATAGCAATAAGCTATCGTTGGCGTGGGTCGGTAGGAGATTGTCGCTCCTTCTGGAACACGTGTGTAGATACCGACCATGCACTGGTCCGCGCTCGGGTGTGCTTACGACTGAACGGACGTAGGAAACAGCTGGCGGTAAAACCATCACGTCCCCAGCTCGATCAGGAAACTAAATCCGTATTTGAGGAAGAACTAGCTAAACACATATCTGTGTTCGACAGCTGTGCTCACCCTGAAGAAGCTTGGAAAAATATCCAGGCAGCCATAGATACAGCTGTAAAAGCTGTGAATAAGGTAAACCCAAAGGTGAGTAAAAACCACTGGATCTCCACCGCCTCATCCGAACTGATAGATGCTAGAAGACTTATTCCGGCGAGCTCCGAATTCAATGAGGAGCGAAAGCTGCACAAGAGGAAACTTACGAAAAGTCTCCGCAAGGACCGTGAACAGTGGTGGGCGACAAAAGCCAAAGAGATGGAGAAAGCTTCGAGGATAGGCAACACCAGGCAACTCTTTACACTCATCAGGGAAACGGGTGGGAGAAGACAAATCATTAGTGAGACAATCTCGGAAAAAAATGGCACTATAATTAGCTCCCAGGATAGACGACTGGATCGTTGGAAAGAGCATTATGAGGAGCAGTTTAATTGGCCCACAGCCACGCTCAACCTTCCGAGCATCCAACACCTCCCTGAATGGGATATAGACACAGGTCCTCCGTCCCTAACTGAGGTTACTAAAGCTGTCACCAATCTGAAACTAGGCAAAGCAGCGGGACCTGATGGAATGACTCCAGAGGTATTTAAGTACGGTGGAGACAGCTTACTGTCTGCATTAACTGAGGTACTAGGCAGCGTCTGGGAATCAGAAGAAGTCCCATCGGGTTGGTGTAAGTCACTGATTATCCCCATATACAAGAAGGGAGACAAGTCTTCCTGTGATAATCACAGAGGGATTAGCTTGACTAATATAGTATCTAAAGTCTTAGGCTCAATAATCATGCGTAGACTGAGTGGTGCTCGGGAGGCACAAACACGAGAGAGCCAGGCAGGCTTTAGACCAGGAAGAGGGTGTATTGATCATATCTTCACCCTCCGACAGATTCTAGAACATAGGCATTCCTACCGGCGTCCAACAGTCATTATATTTCTTGACCTAAAGGCAGCATTCGACTCTGTCGATCGAGAAGTTCTCTGGAGATGCTTGGCTGTAAAGGGAATTCCGAGAAAATATATTGCACTGATTAAGGCACTCTACTCGTACTCATACAGCCAGGTGAGGGCTTACGGCGAGCTGTCATCTGAACTGATGACGACCAGTGGTGTCCGTCAAGGATGCCCATTATCCCCTTTTCTATTCAACTTCATCATAGATGTGTTAATGGACTTAACCCTAGGTGACTTCAGCGACTCAGGGATTGACTTGCTACCAGGGAATAATCTCGTTGACTTGGAATATGCAGACGATATAGTCCTTCTAGGCGAAGACGCTGACGAAATGCAGAGTCTTCTAAACACCTTGAGCTGCAATCTACGAATGTCTGTCATGTATGTGACACCTTGTTTCTTGCTTTCGGTGGCTCGGATGAGTTGGAACAGCTTCCGACTGTTGCCAGATGTAGCAGCTGACTCCATCTCACACGCACGTTCTGACCACCAGGCTTCGCGGTCCTTACGTAAACACTGTCTAATCTTGCGCGTAAGCGCCTTTGGCTTATTGTTGTATTCGCTGTCAGCCGGAATGGACCGACGTTTATCCAGGAGTTGCAAGGAACTCGCAGAAACCCAGTGGTTTTTAGCGGAGAATTCTTTCAAGCCGCAAGCGGCTACAGTCGCCCTTTGCATGGGCGCCGTGCAGATGAAGCCAATGTTCATCTATACTACTTGGGGGGTTGCTGGCAAGCATTCCTTGTAACTCATTCTGGTATTTCAAAGAAGTAGCAGGTGCTACTAGTTCGCTCACATCAACGTTTATACGACGCCTTTTATGAACCCCATCAAATCGCAAGACGAACTTGGCACACACTAACGCATCATGGGAGTCCAAGCATGTGCCCCAGAAAGAGCGACAGTCTTGTATGCATCCTTGCCACGGGGAAATGACAGCGATATGATCAATCTGAGTCCAAGCTTGCTTCGCAGAGGGAGGACGCCAGGTAGCGCTACGTCGATGGCTGTGGAGGAAGTTGGTGCTGGCTAGAAATAGGTTGTGATCCGCGCAAAGCTACAGAAGACAGTCCCCACTATCTAACCTGCGACCATGTAGGCCTCATTGACCACCTAGACGATTCTCCTCTGAGCTTAGACGCCCGACCTGTCCATTCAAGTCTCCAGCCAGCACTATGATATCCCTCCGACCCGCCTGTTTCAAGAGATCGCCAAGTTGTTAGTAGAACTGATCCTTCATTGCATCCGGGCTGCAACTCGTCGGTGCATAGGCAGAGACAACAAATAGATACCACCTATCTGGCCTACTACTCCTTATTTTCGTATAACCTTCCAGGCTCATAGCACATAAACGACTGTTAATGGGAATCCAGTCGACCAATGCAACTTCGGCTCTTCAGGATTACTGCTGCAACAAGAGTTCCTCACTCTCCAGGGATTCCACGTCTTATTTCGGCTTTTCCACTGTTCAAGAAGAAGAATACAACATGCAACGAAGTTTCAAGCATCTCTTTTGCAAAAGTGAATCATCAAATGCTTCGATATCTACTGGAAGGATTACTGACTCGATCTTTGGAATTCTTTATAAAATTCCAGTAATTTATATGAGATTACTATGACATTAAGGAACCTTTCTTTTGAGTAAAGTGTGTGTGTGTAAACTACTCATAGACTAGAAAACATACTTTATGTGAAGCATAATACTCATTTCACTCTCTATAGGCTATCTCTCTTTGATTGGACACTAGTTAGTAACTAGTGTAATGTGTCTAGTACTTTGTTTGGTTCAGACTGAATTAATCTCACAGTCAGGTTTGCAGTATGGCCACTGTGCCACTAAGTGCCTCGCCATCACGGTGCACTGCACCGCGGCTTTTGATATTATGTGGTTGGAGGCAATTAGCCACAGGAGGCCTTGCTTGAATTAGGTTTAGTGCCAGTTGGCACTAACCAATCAGCAAGGCGTATCTGCAACTTTGAAAGGACAACTCATGTCCCTTCTGAGATTCAAACCGATGCCACCCAGTGAGTGTTGCAGTCAGAGAAGTTACCAGGGCTGGCGACTGACTCCCTGTAGGCTAATCTATCTAACTCAATTTCATTCCTTTACTTGTGTGGGTATCATGCTTATGCGCTAATTCCAGGCTCTACTAAATGCAATTTACTTTGTATTAATTAATTTCAACTGGATGAACACTCAGTCGAGCCTTTCCAAATTGTGTGGATAATTCTGAGAGACGGTTTATTTCGTTCGGTGATGTAATTTCTACGCAAGATAGTGAACAACATAACACAGTATAAGAAAAGATACATAGGAGAACACTTACTTTTACAAATTGACGATTGAGTGATAGATTGTGTCTAACTGAATTCTGCCAACCTTTATCAGTTGACTGATAATACGAATAATTTCTGCTAATGAAGTCATAAATTCCACTCAAAGTGAGTTTACGATCTGGTTGACTTGAAATTGCCTGAGCAATGAGTTGAGCATACGAATAAGGCGGTTTAGTAAATCGATCTCCACGTTCTACTACTGTTGTTGGAATGCTTGATAGGTGAACAATAGATGTGGGAAGAGATTTCTGTGGTGATGATTCAGTAGGAACTAGATCTTTGAAAAAGGAATTTAAACTCGAAAATGACATATCAACTCTGGAATTCAACTGAATATATTGAACATTGGCTTTATCGGTAGTAGTATGTTTACTTTCTTGATTAGAAGAAACATCTTGACTTTGGCTGATATCCTTTTTATCAGGTTGATCTCTGAAAGCAAAACAAAATAACGTAGATGCGTTACTGATGATAAAGACAGAAAGCAGTAGCTGGAAAATGAAAGAAAAATGACTAAAACGCATTGTGTGCCATCCAATGAGTTGTTGGTAACAGTTCTACCTTGATTATTCACCAAACCGCGATATGTCAAAGTGTTTTAAAATATAATTATAGGTGGTGCGTTGGTAGCACAGCGCCGACCATGAACATGGTCCAGGGTTCTATCCCCGAGCACCAATGCACTTCTCCTTTACCTCGCTAAGCCAGAAAAATTCCTGGCAAAGAGGAAAGGTTGGGCATGAGGCTAGCAACCCCATCCTGCAAAATTAAACACTGCTACAGACACCTCAAGCCACTAGCTTGAGGCCCTATTTTCCATTGGGAACGTGAAGGAAAGAAAAAAAAATAGGTGGACAGAGTACAGCACCGAATCACCATATAGGAAGCAAAATGCAAATGATAAGTGATGCAAACTCCGAGAAAAATACCATCCTATATACCTCTTCGAACAGAAAACTCCCACGCTGGAAGGAACATTTTCAGGGGCAATTTAAGTGGCTAGGAGTAATGATCGATTTCTCCAACATCCAACACTTGCTTGTATGCTATGTGCATACTACTCATCAAACTCTACTGGACTTTATACTCTAACGACCCGATGATCTTCGAATTCGCCTTGAAACAGTCTAAAATTTAACCGTTCTCCTTGTTCTCGATGCAACGGATAATGCCAAATAGTAGGACTAAATAAAACTGTATTTTTGAAACAATTCCCTTTATTCTCTTTGTGAATTTAGAAAAAAGCAATAGTAATAAGATGTCGTTTATCTGTGAACGGTGTAGTGTGTATTTTGTGTGCAACACCTGTTTCGGACAACCTAATCACACACAGAATTGTTATAGGAATATATACATATGGAAATAATTAGGCGTTGAGGAGTGAGAAAAGGGACTTAGGTCAAGTTAAAATCACATACTGAAATTCAAATAACAATGCAGATCACTAAACAGAAGGAGGCAGTTAATACTACATCCAACCAGGTATGAGAACAAAGTTTACCGAGGAAGAAAGATTTAGTGTGATGAGGAATTGTTCCTGTGGACGCATAAAGGCGGTTTAAACTTCATAATTGCCAGGTAGGGCTTCCACAAACTTTTGGATGCGATTTCCTTCAAAAGGGTTTGATAGATGGGTTTGAAAGACGCCTGGAACATCAGTATCACCGTCCTGTCTCTATAACATGTTTCGCAATAGAGGAGCTAGATCGTCGTTGTCTGTTCTCACTACTATTGGGTTCTGGGGATTCAATTTGTTTGTGAAGCCATTTCGAATATGCTCTAAAGCACTTACTCGACGAGGTCGATGAGTCCTCCCTATGAATGTGTGGCCACACGTACATTTAAACTGGGAGATACACTGGGATGTTACACCATTTCTCACCTGTTGTAAACATTTACATGGATACATGAGCTTCACATTCTCAACTATTCTGAACTCAGTTGCACAAAATACTTTTAAAACGTAGTGTTCAATCTTTGTCGAGTTACCAAGCTAGTGTGATCACTCATTTGTTGTACCTGGATATATTCGTCTTTGCTAGTGACACGTTGAAGAGCGGGTTTGGTGTTCCAGTGACCACTGTGTAATATCTCCTGATCAACTTGTCTGGATAATTATCACCAACTGGAGTTTTTGTCAATCTTCTCTCTCCTTCTCTTCATCATTAAGTCTGCTTTCAGTGCATTTACGTTGGAGACTACAAAAGAGGAGGAGGAGTAGTGACGAGTCACCTCACTCACTAAAGCATTTTTGTAGGGAACACAGCCGAAACTATGTTAATTAAGATATTGTCCTGTCCAGGTAGATATTCTATAAACAGACCGTTTTATTGATTGATTAGACTACCCACTGGCTAGTCAAATATATCTAGGATAGAGAAACAATTATCTTCCTCTTCCACAGACGTATGTAATGTGCTATTCTGGACCTCATTTATCGATTTAAAATACAGGTGGCAGAACAATGTCGTCGGCATATCTTCCATGAGGCAGTACATTTTCGATTAAGTCATGTGATAAGCTCTTATTGTACGTCAGTAGCACAGTGGTTAGGACTCTCGCCTACCAAGTACATGGTCCGAGGTTCGATCCCCTACCGATGAACACCTGATATCTATGTTCGGCCTGCAAAATTTGGGCTGAAAATTCCATATTGGTACCAAAAATACGGTCTGGAATCAAGCTGTAATCAAAAATAAAATAAATAATATCTGATAATACGCGCGCTAAAGGGCTTGACAAAGCAACATCATCTCTCTGACGGAAGCAATCACCTTCAATATGAACCTGATATTGCTAGTCTGTCTGTCTGTTTCCCACATAGAACTTTGCACATATGTGCGGAAGTTCAAGTCGCCACACTCCCTCCTTGTAATACACAAAGCAAGAGAAGAAAGTAGGAGAAATGCATAATAGAGGCAGTAAACAGAGATGTGAGACAAAGGAATAGAAGTAACGAGGAACAAAACAGTTTCATTGGAAATCATAAGTCATAAGGAGTGGATGCATCTGCGCCGTTGAGAACGATTTTGAGCCATATCACCAATTGTTTCCAGCCTTCATTGGTTTTTACCGTCCCAGGACCCCAACCAGGAAGTCTGCACCTTCCTACGTGGCTGACTTAAACTAACTGTTGTAGATTTCATTGACTGGTGCCATGTTTTGGTTTGACCACCACTAGCTCTTTTTCAGCCTGACCCTATGTCAGATAGCATTTCCCGTCGATGAAGGCGATGACTAGGAATGCATGAATAACACATGTCCTAACTATCTCAGTCGATGTAATTTCACAACCTCGTCGGTTGATTTTCCCTCACATACCTAGCACTCGACACCTAACTTCAATGTTCCTCACCTTATTATGCCACTTTACACGGGAAATAGAGCGCAGGCACCTATAATCAAAGACAGCTAGTCTTTTCATATCTTCAACTCTCAGTGGCCACGCGTCGTATAAACATTGATGTGAGCGAACTAGTAGCACCTGCTACTTCTTTGAAATACCAGAATGAGTTACAAGGAATGCTTGCCAGCAACCCCCCAAGTAGTATAGATGAACATTGGCTTCATCTGCAAGGCGCCCATGCAAAGGGCGACTGTAGCCGCTTGCGGCTTGAAAGAATTCTCCGCTAAAAACCACTGGGTTTCTGCGAGTTCCTTGCAACTCCTGGATAAACGTCGGTCCATTCCGGCTGACAGCGAATACAACAATAAGCCAAAGGCGCTTACGCGCAAGATTAGACAGTGTTTACGTAAGGACCGCGAAGCCTGGTGGTCAGAACGTGCGTGTGAGATGGAGTCAGCTGCTACATCTGGCAACAGTCGGAAGCTGTTCCAACTCATCCGAGCCACCGAAAGCAAGAAACAAGGTGTCACATACATGACAGACATTCGTAGATTGCAGCTCAAGGTGTTTAGAAGACTCTGCATTTCGTCAGCATCCTCGCCTAGAAGGACTATATCGTCTGCATATTCCAAGTCAACGAGATTATTCCCTGGTAGCAAGTCAATCCATGAGTCGCTGAAGTCACTTAGGGTTAAGTCCATTAGTACATCTATGATGAAGTTGAATAGAAATGGGGATAATGGGCATCCTTGACGGACACCACTAGTCGTCACCAGTTCAGATGACAGCTCGCCGTAAGCCCTCACCTGGCTGTATGAGTACGAGTAGAGTGCCTTAATCAGTGCAATGTATTTTCTCGGAATTCCCTTTACAGCCAAGCATCTCCAGAGGACTTCTCGATCGACAGAGTCGAATGCTGCCTTTAGGTCAAGAAATATAATGACTGTTGGACGCCGGTAGGAATGCCTATGTTCTAGAATCTGTCGGAGGGTGAAGATATGATCAATACACCCTCTTCCTGGTCTAAAGCCTGCCTGGCTCTCTCGTGTTTGTGCCTCCCGAGCACCACTCAGTCTACGCATGATTATTGAGCCTAAGACTTTAGATACTATATTAGTCAAGCTAATCCCTCTGTGATTATCACAGGAAGACTTGTCTCCCTTCTTGTATATGGGGATAATCAGTGACTTACACCAACCCGATGGGACTTCTTCTGATTCCCAGACGCTGCCTAGTGCCTCAGTTAATGCAGACAGTAAACTGTCTCCACCGTACTTAAATACCTCTGGAGTCATTCCATCAGGTCCCGCTGCTTTGCCTAGTTTCAGATTGGTGACAGCTTTAGTAACCTCAGTTAGGGATGGAGGACCTGTGTCTATATCCCATTCAGGGAGGTGTTGGATGCTCGGAAGGTTGAGCGTGGCTGTGGGCCAATTAAACTGCTCCTCATAATGCTCTTTCCAACGATCCAGTCGTCTATCCTGGGAGCTAATTATAGTGCCATTTTTTTCCGAGATTGTTTCACTAATGATTTGTCTTCTCCCACCCGTTTCCCTGATGAGTGTAAATAGTTGCCTGGTGTTGCCTATCCTCGAAGCTTTCTCCATCTCTTTGGCTTTTGTCACCCACCACTGTTCACGGTCCTTGCGGAGACTTTTCGTAAGTTTCCTTTCGTGCAGCTTTCGCTCCTCATTGAATTCGGAGCTCGCCGGAATAAGTCTTCTAGCATCTATCAGTTCGGATGAGGCGGTGGAGATCCAGTGGTTTTTACTCACCTTTGGGTTTACCTTATTCACAGCTTTTACAGCTGTATCTATGGCTGCCTGGATATTTTTCCAAGCTTCTTCAGGGTGAGCACAGCTGTCGAACACAGATATGTGTTTAGCTAGTTCTTCCTCAAATACGGATTTAGTTTCCTGATCGAGCTGGGGACGTGATGGTTTTACCGCCAGCTGTTTCCTACGTCCGTTCAGTCGTAAGCACACGCGAGCGCGGACCAGTGCATGGTCGGTATCTACACACGTGTTCCAGAAGGAGCGACAATCTCCTACCGACCCACGCCAACGATAGCTTATTGCTATGTGGTCTATTTGTGTCCAGCGTTGGTTTGATGAAGGGGGTCTCCAAGTCAAACAGTGTCTCTCCTTGTGTTTGAAGTTAGTGCTTACAAGAAACAAATGATTATCAGAACAGAACTGTAGGAGACGGTCACCGTTGTCGGTTCGCTGGCACGGAACTCCATAGGTGCCACCGACATCCTTCTCAGATTGACACAATTTCCCTACTTGAGCGTTAAAGTCACCAGCTAGAACGACTATGTCTGAGCGTTTAGCCTTTCGCACCAAACTAGACAGCTTTTGGTAGAACTCATCCTTCGTTTCATCTGAACTGCAGTCAGTGGGGGCGTAGGCGGAGATTACGAAAAGGCATCGGCGAGTAGTGCAGTCCTTTCTCCTCTTTACTGACCCGTTCAGACGGACAGCACACATTCGGCTATCTACCGGGATCCAGTCAAGCAATGTCTTTTCTGCCCTAGTACTCAAAGCTATCCCTACACCAGCTAATCCTCGTGAACTAGCTGTGGCATCTCCTGACACCCTCAAGGTGAATTTTGCAGATTCAACCTGTTGGCCAGGTGGGGTTAGGTGAATAACCACACTTGGGTCTTGTATGCGTGTTTCTGAAACACAGCATACATCAATGGCTCGTGATGCCAGGGTCTTGGCTAGTGATGCTTGTTGTCCTATTTGGCAAAGTGTCCTAACATTAAAAGCTCCTATATGAAATTGGTGGCGTGGCTTTAAGAGGCTGTCGGTGGTGGTTTTTTGGCTTCCATCGTTTTTAGTGGACGCAGAGTGGAGAGGAAGTGGAGAGCTATCAAGTCGAGGAGTTGCATCAGTGGAAGGAAGGCAAGATGATAGAGATGAAGATGAAAACAAAGATGAGTGAGTAATGGAGAGGTTTCGCGTGCGTTTCGGATTGTGAGGGCGATTGTTACTTCCCGGCTGCCCACACCGTGGAAGTTGGTTGCGTGACCGCAGAGCCCAGGGGACAACTGCTTGAGGCCGGTCACACGCGGCCTGTTTTTATTCGTTCTTTTTTGTTTGGTAGCATATTTATCACTCCTGCCCTGTGACACGGCAGCAGGAAGCGCGGTCGTTGTTAATCCGGGCCACGGCCGATCCGGCATGAAATTTTGTGATTTTGTATGTATCATGATGTTGGATTGGGTAGCTGCTTTTTGTTTAACCGCTATCCAAACAACCTGCCTGGCATGGTAGACCTCAAGAGACATAAGTCTCAGCCAGTATAGCTTGAATAGATCATTGCGGTGTTCAAGCCCGACCACCACGTCAAGGTAGCAGCTTTCGGTGTGGATATGTAATCACGCTTTGTTTCAGCTGTCAGTGCAATCCCACAGTCAAATTCCTCATCTTTTCTTATCTCTGCGATCGACCACTAGTAGCCACAAGGGCCAGAATACCACTACTGATGGTCTCTTAAAACTACACCGCCAACTTTAAAGTTGGCCAGAACCCCTGGTCAAATCGGACAACAGGTATCACTAGCTAGAACTTTGGCATTTCATGACACGGATATATGTTGTGTTCTAGAGACACACATACAAGACCCGTGTGTGGTTATTCACTTGATCCCACCTGGCCAACAGAGTGAATCTGCGAAACTCACCTTACGAGTGCCAACAGTTTCTTTGGCTAGTCAGCGAGGACTTCCATGTGTAGTAACATTGAGCATTGAGTGCTATGGTGGAAAAACCCTTACTTGACTGCATCCCAACTGGTGGTCGCATGTCTCCTGTCAGGCTTATACGGTGTCCCTTTAAAAAGAAAGACGGTGACACTGGTCGATATCTCCCTAAATCTGTACTAATGCCCCCAACATACATCAGGTTAGACGAAGTAAACGGTGGACATCATCTCTAATGCAGTAGGGGAGCTGTGTCAATCTCAGAAGCATGTCCGAGGCACCTATGGAGTCCAATGACGATGAACTAACAGTGCTGATAGTCTTCTACAGTTCAGTTCAGATAATTAAACACGAAGGGAGACATCCCATAACTCGGTGACCTCCATGATCAAAACAACATTGTACTCAACTCGAATGGACCAGAGCGACGACCCAAAACATTGGTGTGTGATAGTGGCGAAAGAGATGCGAAAAGCGTCGACGATAGGCAACGTCGGACAACTATTTAGAATCATTAGAGAAAAACAAGTTGCAAAAGGCAGACAATAATTCAGACAATTCCCGCGAAAAGCAGCGCTTCACATGGTTCTCAGGATAGAAGGCTGGACATTTCGAGGAGAAATTTAACCAGCCTACAGCAGTGACTGTCTGACTTGCCCATCTGATAGAATCACACAAAAAGTAGGATATCATCCTTTCTCACGCGTATCTTGACTAGTTGTGTGATCAATAATTTCTCACGCAATTTGTCGCTAGTGTCAGCAATCATTTCTCACGGCTGTGAGCCCAATTTATGGTGGCAAAGTTGTGTAAATATCACGTGTCGTTCGCCTAATAAACTTGCAGTATATTTCACAGGCCAACCTTTCTCTTTCCGTATTAACATGGTCCAGGAATCGGACTGCACAACAGAAAAATAGTAATATAAGTGCATCAGTTGGTTTCACTACACTTCAGACATAACATCAAAATATGTATCAGTCATTTAACTCTGATTGATGTTATACAGACAGGCTGTCTTTTCACTTGCTTTGTGTGTTGCATGGAGCATGGGAGGGAGAGTGGGAGAGGTTGGTGACAACTCGAACTTATCCACATCTCTGAAAAGTCCTATGTTGAACCCTAACCAGTCAGTCAGACAGTCAGTCAGTTAACGATAAATATAGGAAACCTTTATGTCAACGCACTGGCAGACCTCGTTTGCTGAAGCCGTAGCAAGCCTGTCATAAACAGATATCGTTGGACGTGACGCTAGCAATCTCGGAACATGAAAGACAAAATCACCGATACTGAAACTTAAAAAACCCAAGCCTGAAGACCTATGTTCCACTGGAAACGCAAAGGCATTGAATGAACTAATTCAGGGAGACAATTTATGTCTTCTAATATTTCATTTCATCAAATCAAGGTTGGAAACCCCAGCCCGTGAGGAAAAACAACAACACTGCTGCTACTGAAATTTTAAAACTCACAAACTTTGAAGCTCTAAGTTTCATTTGGAACGCAAAGGAATAAAGTGATAATCGGAATAAGGCTTATTTATAGCCGACCAACGCTACACATGTACCTACTGCCATTCATTTCATAACGTCCAGACCTTATATTTCAGTTATTTCAATAAAAGCCACTCAAGTTTTATTCCCAGTTCAGGGAAAAAGGAAGTTAGTTGTGAACAAGTGTCTAACTGTAACATCTCTTCCGGCTTTCAGCCTCGCTTTTTACTTTGGTCAAACTATGTGTCGAGTCACTGCCTTCCTCGACTAATATATGATGAAGTTGGAAAAAAGAGACGCTGGCGAAATCGAAATTGAATTGACAGTTGGTTTGAGCTACATAGGGAGATGTAGACCTCCCAGTCGGGATTGTCTTGTCGGGAGTCTTTTGGCGATTCAGCTCAAAATCATCCACAATAGTGCAGACGCATTCACTCTTTGAGACCCTCCATTTCTATTAAACCCTTATCCCCCATGTTACCACACTTGCTCTCTGGATATTTGTCTTAATTACAGTATTTTTTAAAATTATTTCCGCTAATCTTTTTACCTTTTTGATGTACAAGCAGTGTGGTAATCTCAAATGGTACACTATTTTTGAAGTTTTCCATATTGAAAGTCAATCAGCCAGAGACAAACAAAAACAGAACCGATTCTATGATTTTTTTCTCGGTTCCCCCTAGAGAAACTTAATAGTTAAGATTATAATTTGCAGGTGCGTTAAGTGACAACGTCGTTGTTGGGGAGCAGATATACAAGCCTCTTGGAATATACAGAAGAAGTGGTCATATTGAACTGTACTCTTCTGGTTGTATGGAATTCTTTTCGTGTGTTACTCGGTTGTTGTTGTAATTGATTATTTGATCTGTAGATGTTGATTTTGTTAACTTGAGTTTCTAATTTCCTTGACTAAGACATCGAAAAATGGAATTTTGTCCTCGCATTCCTCTTTTCTCGGGAATTCGATGCCGTTGAAAACTCTGTTTATTAAGTTGTGAGTCTTATCCGACTCGTTTCTTTTGATTATTACGAATGTGTCATCTGCATAACGTACCCATATTTTGCGTTTGATATTTGGTAGGATTATGTTTTCGAGCCTTTGCATCACAACTTCTGTAGTCAGATCTGAAATGCGTGATCCCACAGGCGTCCCTTAAATTTGTCCACATATTTGGCTGTTGAAATGAAAATATGTTGTTGGACATAGGTTTATGTACTCCATTCAACTTGTTTATTGCATTTTTGAGTATTATATGAGGGGTGATTGTTGTTGTTGAGTAACTGCTTCATGGTTCCTTTTGCTAGTTTCTCTCCAATTGAAGTATATAATGCTGTGACAACGGAAGATACCATCATAGCTTTGTTCAACATACGAGTTGATGTCCCAAGTATTTAAGAAGGCTCAAGACACCACTAACCTTTATTTGTATGTGAATTGCTTGTGCTAAGTTTTGTCCCACACAATGATAGACATAAACTATCGCGTAATACTTCCCCTCTAGAATAATAAAATTTAGGGATTCAGGGTGAAAATGTAAAATAACAACAAAATCAACTCAACATCAAGGGAAAAGAACTTACAGATCAATATTCTTGTCCTCATTTGAAGTCAAATCATTAAGAAGGACGGTTTTTACATTTTGATTATGATAGGTAGTTCTACAAGTTGGTATCAATGCTTGTTTACGACGTGTACGACTAGTTGATGAGATCTCAGTAGAAAGTTCACGCTTGAAATCACTTGATGACAATGATTCTTTATCACTAGTTATCACACTAGACAGTAGAGTATTTCCTCCTGACTCGTATGAATCCATTTCCAAAGATGATGAAAGGCGATCTCCAGAAGCATTGCTTTTTTCGTAAGTCATAAAACACTGTTCAACTTCAATGCAAATCGATGTACTCGGGAATCGAAGGATACATCTTAATCGAAATGGGAAAAATAGTTATTTCTAACGGATTGAGTGATTACAGGATTTCATCATGACCTGACATTACTAAGAGAACCATTGGAGAACCTGGGAGTACTGGACAACTGTTTCGTCCTAGTTTGGGACTCTTCATCAGTACGCACCCACCGCCAGGGTTCGAGTGATTATCATATACCAATAATTTAAACAAATAGTATGCCTTCTGAGATACGCGTATACCCCATAATTAAAAGGAACAGCTCGTATTTAGAAGGAAGCACTAAACCGATAACCTATGGAAAATATAACTTATGAACTCAGTGAGCACCAAATTCAGTGTACATTGATGAAAAGAAGTTTTAAGGGCCAAAAAAGGAGGATAAAAGTGAACAAAAAAACATTTGATAATTTAATGTTTATTAACTAATGAGATGTGGAAGATATCTAGAATTTCTGTTTTTCGATTCGATAACTGCAAATAAATAATTATAGTTTGTGAAGCTAGAAAGCTAAAAACCTCGTCATATCCGTATTAGAGAAGAGGAAATAACATTCCCCAAATAAAGTGAATATGGAGATGTTTCAGATGGAGAGAGTATAGTCAAACACTTATTCAAACGACAGCTTCATTATGGTGAATGAAGATAGGCTGCTGTGATTCGCAGTGCTAATTCATGAGGAAACAAATCCTTCTATTTATAAACAGAAGAGAAAAATATTAGATGGTTGGAGGTGATCGGCAGGAAGTCTCGGACACAGGTTTTCTGCTTGTTGGCACTCATCAGTCACCAAGGCGTGTCTACAACTTTGAAGGAACACCTCATGTCTGTTTTGAGACTTAAACCAGCGCCACCCAGTGAATGACACATTCAAAGACGTGACGTGTGGGCTGGGAACTGACCTCCTATAGGACTGTAGTGGATACTTTGATTGGATACTAGTTAGCAACTAGTATAATGTGTCTACTAACCCTTCACTTGGTGCAGGTTGGCGGAAGGCTTCCTGTGGACTGCCTGCCTCCAACTATCTAATATTAACAATTCAAAGTGCACCTTGATGGCAAGCCACCCAGAATGCTGGTCAAATTTCAAACTTGACTGCTGGAATTCAATAAAGAAAGGACGAACATGTTTACAGGATATTACGAGACTGTTTTGTTTCATGGATTCTCCTCAACTATGTACATACTTAAAAAATAAAAAAAATATTACAAACTTTTATGCGCATACTTTTTACAATTACTTCAAATTGTAGATAGAAAGTATAGGCAACATATTCGACTTTCGACCAAAAGGGCGAGTGTACTGCTCAGCAATTCGCTCCGTCCTGCTTTTTGACTGTGAGACCTCGCCATTGAGAGTGGAAGACATGAAAAGGTTGACTGGCCAGCTGTCTTTGATCATAGGTGCCTGCGTTCTATCGCCCGTGTAAAGTCTCTGTCTGTCTGTTTTCGATATAGAACTTTGCACATATGTGCGGAAGTTCAAGTCGCCACACTCCCTCCTTGTAATACACAAAGCAAGAGAAGAAAGTAGGAGAAATGCATAATAGAGGCAGTAAACAGAGATGTGAGACAAAGGAATAGAAGTAACGAGGAACAAAACAGTTTCATTGGGAATCATAAATCACAAGTTATGGATGCATCTGTGCCACTGAGAACGATTTTGAGCCATATCACCAATTGTTTCCAGCCTTCATTGGTTTTTACCGTCCCCAGGACCCCAACCGGGAAGTCTACGCCGTGTGAGGTGGTATAATAAGGTGTGGAATATCGAGGTTAGGCGTCGAGTGCTAGGTATGTGAGGGAAAATCAACCGACGAGGTTGTGAAATTACATCGACTGAGATAGTTAGGACATGTGTTATTCATGCATTCCTAGTCATCGCCTTCATCGACGGGAAATGCTATCTGACATAGGGTCAGGCTGAAAAAGAGCTAGTGGTGGTCAAACCAAAACATGGCACCAGTCAATGAAATCTACAACAGTTAGTTTAAGTCAGCCACGTAGGAAGGTGCAGATTTCCTGGTTGGGGTCCTGGGGACGGTAAAAACCAATGAAGGCTGGAAACAATTGGTGATATGGCTCAAAATCGTTCTCAGTGGCACAGATGCATCCATAACTTGTGATTTATGATTCCCAATGAAACTGTTTTGTTCCTCGTTACTTCTATTCCTTTGTCTCACATCTCTGTTTACTGTCTCTATTATGCATTTCTCCTACTTTCTTCTCTTGCTTTGTGTGCTACACGGAGTGTGGTGACTTGAACTTCCGCACATTTGTGCAAAGTTTTATGTCGAAAACACACAGACATAATTTCAAAGACGATGTAAATAGACAATTATTTAGTGTTAAAATGATCAACACACAAAGAAAAATATGGTTATTTTTGTCCGTAGAAGCCATTGTCATCAAAAGACTTTGACCAAACCTATGTATACAGAGAAATGACGTGAATAATCTCTCATTAACCTGGTAACCGTAACTGTTTTGTTCATGGACTTTTATTTTCGTTCTGATGCATAACATTCCACTCAATTTCGATTTCGATTTCCACTTATCGAGTTAAACTCACTATTGAGTTCCCAAATCTATTTTACATTTTCATTTTACTTTACTATTCACCACCATCCTCCGGAACTCTCCATCATAATATGCATAAATTCACTATGTTGTTCTATCTTGTATTTTGTCTCTATTCCAGCATTGTTTCCAAGCAAGGCCCTTGTCTATTTACCATATAACCAGTTAATCTTTTAACACTAAATAATTGTCTACTTAAATCATCTTTGGAATTATGTTACCCTTACTTTCTATCGATAACACGAAGTCAGTGTAACAAGTATGTTCAGACACCATTAACTTGAAATTGATTTTGTTTAGAATGTAAGCAGTTGAAGAGAATCCATGGAATGAAACAAGCTTGTATTCTCCTGTAAATACGTTCGTTCTTTCTTTATGCAGACTAATAAAGTCTGGACCAAGAAAAGGACAAGACACATTTACACTAGTTACTATAACTAGTATGTGTTCAAAGAAACGACAAATGTTGATTGACAGTCTTTTCTTCTCAATGTGAGTATACAAAGATGAATTGCGTGCAGATGATGCATATGTGACTTATTTCAATAATAATGACGACTTCACATTATGCCATAGTTATATCTCCTTGATAATACGCCATGTGTGAATGCTTATATCTTCATTATAGATAAGATTTTATTTTGATAAATCACACAGTGTTATACAGTGATTGTTGTGAACTTTTCTTATAATACGTATCTAGTCATATTCATATCTCTACCGCTATTAACACTCTTTTTTTCCTTTATATGTTTAAGCCATTCCGGCTTCATTGTAAAATGAATAAAGCCTAAATTCTTGGTTCATTCGTCTTTTCAAGATTCAAGCATCACTCATCGTTCTAAGACTCAATCACCTTCGTAACAATTTATTCATTTTACAATATTCATGGAACGATTTTTCCGACCTGATCGGTTCGACGTAGAACCTAACGCAGTTGGAGCTGCCAAGAAGTGGGATCACTGGTTTGCGACTTTTTCCTACTTCATTGAATCAATGGGATCCGAAAATCCTTCGAAACTACATATTCTCTTCAATCATATTTCTACTTCTGTATACGAATGCATTTCTGAATGCAAAACATACGAAGAAGCTATCGACACTCTCAAGAGTCTCTACATGCAGCCTTGCAACGAAGTGTTTGCTCGACACTTGTTAGCAACGTGTAAACAAGAATCTGGCGAAAATCTGGATCAGTTTGTTCGTCGACTCAAGTCGCTGACTACAGATTGTTCATTCAGGGCAGTTACAGCCGAAGAACATCGTAACGAATCTCTACGTGATTCATTCATCTCAGGTATACAGTCTTCGATGATACGCCAGAGGCTATTAGAACAGCGTACTTTAACTTTTCAAGCGGCATACGATCAAGCACGAGCTCTAGAGATGGCACATCAACAATCGCAGTCATACAACAATCCTGTTACACCTTGCGCGTCCATTTCTTTACATGATGTACCTCATTCATCAGATTCCACACCCTCCGTCAATGAAACAACCATTGCTGCCGTTGAATCCAAATGCTTTTTCTGTGGTAATCGTAGACATCCTCGTTCCAAATGCCCCGCCCGTGATGCAGTTTGCAAAGCTTGTGGCAAGCAAGGACATTTTCAGAAGGTTTGCAGGTCTGCGCCATCTACGAAAAAAGGTCCATCTTCAGTTAACTCTATAATTTCATCTCTCGTTGTGGCTTCAGCACCTCAAAGTCTCACTGATGCTGTTACGCAGCTTACTGTCAATGGGAAATCAATGCAAGCTCTAGTGGATACCGGAAGCAGTGAGAGCTACATCTCTTCCTCAGTTGTTCGTAAGTATAACTGGAAAGTCCATAAGTCTCGAAACAGAATCACAATGGCGAGTACGAATCTTACTAGTCATACTGAAGGACATTGTCTTCTATCCATCTGCTATAAAAACCACACTTATGATCTATTCAAATTTTCCATTCTTCATAATTTATGTGCAGACGTCCTTCTTGGACATGATTTTTTAAAACTTCACAAACACATTGAGATTCCTTTTGGGGGATCAAAGCCGCCTTTTTCTCTCTGTGGTCTACCTTGTGTTCGCGTCGACCTGCCTACTCTGTTTGAAAATCTTTCAAAAGACTGTAAACCGATCGCGATAAAATCCCGGCGTTATTCTCGTGAAGATGAAAGTTTTATTTCCACCGAAGTCAACCGGTTACTGCAAGAAGGTGTTATTGAACCTTCTAATTCTCCTTGGCGAGCTCAAGTTCTTGTTACGTCAAACGAACGCCATAAAAAGAGGATGGTAGTTGATTATAGTCAGACAATCAATCGATTCACTTTTCTGGATGCTTACCCATTACCTAGGATTGACGAAATGATAGAAAAAATCGCACAATATGACATATTCAGCACTCTTGATCTGAAGAATGCTTATCATCAAATTGCCCTAAGGAACGAAGATAAACCATATACTGCTTTCGAGGCTTGTGGGAAACTTTACCAATTTTGCCGAATTCCTTTTGGTGTTACCAATGGCGTAGCTTGTTTTCAACGCATTATCGATGAATTGATCAGTAAAGAACAACTCACAAGCACGTTTGCCTACATTGACAATGTCACTATCTGCGGCAAAACTCAGGAGGAACACGACAAAAATCTAAACAAGTTTATGGTAGCAGCACGCAATTATGGAATAACCCTTAATGATTCCAAAAGTGTGATCTCAAGCAGAAGCATACAATTACTCGGTTATGAAGTTTCAAAGGGGTTATTAAACCAGATCCCGATCGGCTAAAACCTCTTCGTGATCTAGAACCACCCACAGATATCAAATCTCAACAACGGGCCGTTGGATTATTTGCTTATTATTCACAGTGGATCCCTCGCTTCTCAGATAAAATCCACCCATTGGTAAATAATCGGATTTTCCCTCTTGATATCGAAACTCGAAATGCTTTTGACAAACTGAAAGACGACTTAGAACGTGCAGTCGTTGTGGTAGTTGATCCGAAAGCACCCCTTGTTGTTGAAACAGATGCTTCAGATGTCTCAATTGCAGCTACATTAAACCAGAATGGTAAACCTGTCGCCTTCTTTTCTCGAAGCCTCTCTCGAAGTGAGAAACATCATTCATCGGTTGAGAAAGAAGCCTATGCCGTGGTTGAAGCAATTCGTAAGTGGAAGCATTACCTTCTCGGAAATCACTTCAAACTTGTCACTGATCAACGTTCAGTAGCATTCATGTTTGACAAGATTCATAAAGGCAAAATCAAGAACGATAAAATAATGCGTTGGAGAATTGAGCTATCCCCTTATCAATATGACATCATTTATCGTCCTGGAAGGGATAATCAAGCTGCTGATACATTTTCCCGTAGTTTCTGCGGTTCCTTGCAGTCAGTGTGCGACTTGAAATTTCTCCATGACTCTATGTGCCATCCTGGAGTTGTCCGAATGATGCATTTTGTACGCTCGAGAAACCTTCCATTCTCCCTTGACGAGGTGCGCAATGTAACCAGTAAATGCGTGACATGCTGTGAGTTAAAGCCTCAATTTTACAATCCCTCTAATTTCAAACTCATAAAAGCAACCCAACCTTTTGAAAGGTTAAGCATCGACTTTAAAGGACCTCTACCGTCAGCTAGCCGCAATCACTATCTGCTCACGCTGATCGATGAATATTCTCGATTCCCCTTTGCATTCGCCTGCCCCGACATGTCGTCTCAAACGGTAATGAATTGCCTTTGCCAACTGTTTTCGATTTTCGGTATGCCTTCTTACATACATACCGACAGAGGCGCTGCTTTCATGTCTACCGAATTACGGGCATTTCTTCTGGAGAAAGGCGTAGCAACCAGTCGTACTACCTCATACAATCCTCAAGCCAATGGGCAGGTCGAGCGCCTCAATGGAACACTTTGGCGTGCCATCACTCTAGCATTAAGATCACGGGGCCTACCAACGGCACAATGGGAGTCTGTTCTACTCGACGCCTTGCATTCCATCAGATCTTTGCTCTGTACTGCAACGAACGCCACGCCACACGAACGACTGTTTACCTATAACCGAAGATCGACATCTGGGACAACTCTTCCTACTTGGCTCACTGTACCAGGACCAGTACTTCTCCGGCGGAGTGTTCGTCAGTCCAAATTCGATCCCCTGGTTGAAGAGGTGGAGCTATTGAATTGTAACCCGCAATTCGCTCACGTTCGCTTCGGTAATGGACGTGAAGATACAGTTGCTCTTCATCATCTGGCACCCAAAGGCGAAGATATAGATCAAGTTGAAAATTCAATACCGGAGGGCGACGCAATTCCTGAGCAACAAGTAAATGGGGATGCGACCACTGATCCTAATATTCTTCGTGAAGAAAATACAACTGAAACGAACAACGGGCGTATTCTTTTGGAAAAACAACAACGTGTACGGCCTTACAATTTGCGTACCAGAGAAGCGTGACATAATGGCTCATTCCTTTTCAAGCCGCAGTGAATGTTGTGAACTTTTCTTATAATACGTATCTAGTCATATTCATATCTCTACCGCTATTAACACTCTTTTTTTCCTTTATATGTTTAAGCCATTCCGGCTTCATTGTAAAATGAATAAAGCCTAAATTCTTGGTTCATTCGTCTTTTCAAGATTCAAGCATCACTCATCGTTCTAAGACTCAATCACCTTCGTAACAGTGATATTAAGTGATGACCACGTTTCGAGCAAAGATTATTGCTTATAATCATATTGAGTCACTAACACAACTTGTGCAATTAATATCAAGTTGACTTGATATGATTATGAGCAATAGTTTGTGATCGAAACGTCATCAATTAATATTAATGTACAACAATATGTGACTTATCAAAATAAAATCTTATCTATAATGGAGTTATGCTCTACCAGTGTCTAAGTTTTATACTTATATCGACTGTAAACAATGGTGAGCGGTAAAAGTGAAGAACATGGAAAACGCATCTGCCGCATACACTACCAGACAATCACTTATAGTCATTAAGGAAACTTGTCATAAAAGGTAAATGATAAAAGGCACAACTCAACACAACAATAATTACTTTTCAGAACAGATGATTCAAGTGTTAGGGGGAACAAACTGGAGAGCGATTCATCAGGCCCAATGGCCAAATTAATTTGACCAGCATTCAACACATTAGTTATCCATCAGTAATTGAGGCTACAAAGGCAGTCTAACCAGAAACAACGTAGAGCAGCAGTGCATGATGGCATGAATCCAGGAGTGGCGGAGACCAAATATTGACTGGGTTAACTAAGATAACAGGTGGCGTCTTGGTACCTGAGATAGTCCTGTTGTACTGGTGTAAAGCATTGATTATCCTAGTTTATAAGTGAGCAGACAAGTCTTCCTATGGCAATCATAGAACATCTTGACTCACAGTGTCTGAAAATTTATGTGCAATAATCGTCCGTACACTGGGAGGTGATCGGGAGAGACGATCACATGAAAATCAGGATGACTAGGCTCAAAGTAGTGTAATGATAACATCTTCACTCTTCAACAGATTTTGAAAAGTAGGAATACTTTTCAGAGTTTTAATATTTGCCATATTTCTTGACCAGGAGGCATTTAATCCAGTAGATCAAGAGGTGTTGTGACCATGTTTGGCCATGGTGAGTGCCGAAAAAGCCTGTAGCATACTCTACTCGAAATCAAGAAACCGTCTAAAAGCCTATAGAGAGTTGTCACCTAAAGTGATGACAACCAGTGATTTAATTGATGGGTGTAGTGACGGATACGAACCTGGTCAACTTGAGTGAATTAGAGGTAGACTTATCACCAGGGGGTTTAGAGCATGGGCAATAACAAAATCCTGAACCTTCTGAATACCTTGAGCAGCAATCTTAGTACGTTTGATGCGATTCAACCCTGTCAAGTGTAACATGATCTAGGATCGGTGTACACCAGCGTGATATCCATCTGCCGAGCAGTTAACTCTGGCCTTTATGGGTGTGAGATGTGGCCACTGAAAGTGGTAGATACGAAGACGCTTTCTTTAACTATAGGTGAATAAGGCACAAATAGTTCATGATGCTGCCACATGATAACATGGTAAAATAAGACAGAGAAATGGAAATAATGATGGATACCTACTGTGTACCATAAAGTAAATAAGCATACCACAAATAAATAAGGTACTACAATCGAAATAGGTGTCGAGTACTAATGGATCCGTACTAGTGCAAACAAATCCCGAGCACCAGACCAGGGATCCATAAGCGTATGTCCCACAAGCTCCCTGATCAGTATACTGATTAGATGACGATGACATGACTGGCAACCAACCATTTATTTAGAAAGAACTTACATTCCATAGTCGAACAGATGACTCGTTTGATAATGCTCGATTTAATGCTTACCTTAGTGGAATGGAGAGAAGATGGGAACAGTGAGGTCGAAACACCTGGTCAATAAAAATCCCGTTCTTTCCCTTGCATTTCAACTTCAAGGAGTTCGCCTTCCAATATATTTCCAAATGCCGGCGAGAGATGTATGATGAAGGACCTATATCAATATCCACAGGGTAATTGGCAGAACTTCGACCAATAGTTATATGGTGTTTCACCATCTCGTACGTAACTCCTTTAATCCTCAGGCGTGCGTAAACTTTCAGCATATTGCAACATACAAGCAAATTGGCTGAACTGATACCAAGAACCAGGAAAGTATAATGATCATAAATTGGAGCTATACAGAAACTGTCTACACTGAAAGTTCAAGTGAGTTGTTTGGCTGACGAGCGTTGCGTTTAAATGCAATGTCTAAATTTAATAATGAGCAAAAATGTCAAAGACAATCAATCTAAATAAAGAAAGAACAACAGTTTTTTGCAAAATTAAAATGATACCATCATTTATTTAGTTGGCTTCTTATCAACTGCTTACAGGCCAAATTCATTATTAAGTATACCTACAGAAACAATTTTAACATACTTACACAGAGTTCATTTTTAAACATAAATCAATCACTCAATATATGCATACAGCAATATATATATATATAATACAAAACTCTGAACAACAATGACCATACACAAAAGAAACTTTCAACATTACGTAATCAGATGAAAGAGAGCTGAAAATGTCTAGTTACCAGGGCAAACAAAGACTGATAAATGTCTGTCTGTCTGTCTATTTTCGACATAAAACTTTGCACAAATGTGCGGAAGTTCAAGTCACCACACTCCGTGTAGCACACAAAGCAAGAGAAGAAAGTAGGAGAAATGCATAATAGAGACAGTAAACAGAGGTGTGAGACAAAGGAATAGAAGTAACGAGGAACAAAACAGTTTCATTGGAAATCATAAGTCACAAGGTGTGGATGCATCTGCACCGTTGAGAACGATTTTGAGCCATATCACCAATTGTTTCCAGCCTTCATTGGTTTTTACCGTCCCCAGGACCCCAACCAGGAAATCTGCACCTTCCTACGTGGCTGACTTAAACTAACTGTTGTAGATTTCATTGACTGGTGCCATGTTTTGGTTTGACCACCACTAGCTCTTTTTCAGCCTGACCCTATGTCAGATAGCATTTCCCGTCGATGAAGGCGATGACTAGGAATGCATGAATAACACATGTCCTAACTATCTCAGTCGATGTAATTTCACAACCTCGTCGGTTGATTTTCCCTCACATACCTAGCACTCGACGCCTAACTTCAATGTTCCTCACCTTATTATGCCACTTTACACGGGAAATAGAGCGCAGGCACCTATAATCAAAGACAGCTAGTCTTTTCATATCTTCAACTCTCAGTGGCCACGCGTCGTATAAACATTGATGTGAGCGAACTAGTAGCACCTGCTACTTCTTTGAAATACCAGAATGAGTTACAAGGAATGCTTGCCAGCAACCCCCCAAGTAGTATAGATGAACATTGGCTTCATCTGCAAGGCGCCCATGCAAAGGGCGACTGTAGCCGCTTGCGGCTTGAAAGAATTCTCCGCTAAAAACCACTGGGTTTCTGCGAGTTCCTTGCAACTCCTAGATAAACGTCGGTCCATTCCGGCTGACAGCGAATACAACAATAAGCCAAAGGCGCTTACGCGCAAGATTAGACAGTGTTTACGTAAGGACCGCGAAGCCTGGTGGTCAGAACGTGCGTGTGAGATGGAGTCAGCTGCTACATCTGGCAACAGTCGGAAGCTGTTCCAACTCATCCGAGCCACCGAAAGCAAGAAACAAGGTGTCACATACATGCCAGACATTCGTAGATTGCAGCTCAAGGTGTTTAGAAGACTCTGCATTTCGTCAGCATCCTCGCCTAGAAGGACTATATCGTCTGCATATTCCAAGTCAACGAGATTATTCCCTGGTAGCAAGTCAATCCATGAGTCGCTGAAGTCACTTAGGGTTAAGTCCATTAGTACATCTATGATGAAGTTGAATAGAAATGGGGATAATGGGCATCCTTGACGGACACCACTAGTCGTCACCAGTTCAGATGACAGCTCGCCGTAAGCCCTCACCTGGCTGTATGAGTACGAGTAGAGTGCCTTAATCAGTGCAATGTATTTTCTCGGAATTCCCTTTACAGCCAAGCATCTCCAGAGGACTTCTCGATCGACAGAGTCGAATGCTGCCTTTAGGTCAAGAAATATAATGACTGTTGGACGCCGGTAGGAATGCCTATGTTCTAGAATCTGTCGGAGGGTGAAGATATGATCAATACACCGTCTTCCTGGTCTAAGACTGATAACTGCTTCTTTTTGAAACATAAATCAAGTTTTAGACGGTTGATGGAGATCGCTTCGGCGAAAATGAAGAGAATCGAACTTTTGCTTATCGATAATTTCGAACGATCTTGCGACGTCCACCTCATGAATCGTGTCAAGGAGATGCCTAGCGATGGGACCGTTTGATGCATTCGTTCCCTTTAGACATAGGCTTTTCGGTACATGTTCAGAAAAGCGTAGATATGCCATTCTTTCTGTTCTTCGAATGTAAGTGCTCCCGCAGATAAATGTATATTTGTACATACAGTTGAAGTTAACAGGAGAAGGAAATCTATCGATTTTTGATTGCATGCTCTTAATTTCTCATAGAAACTAGCTTATTGTATCTGCATGGAGAAAAGAAAACTTGTTCCAGTTGCAGCTGATTTATGAAACTGTGGTGGACCTCTTCACTTTACATCTTTGTTGGAGCAGTTTCATTGCATTCCTTCTACACACTTCGAAATCGCACTTCTGGACTGTGACAACTTCAGCTGTGTGTAGATTCCAAATTCACTGAGTACAGCATCGGTATCGTGTACGAAGAATGTTAAATGAAGTCAGGTTAGGTGAAGACGAAGTAAGTTATGATGAGACCGCTAATTCACCAAGTTATTATTTAATTACATTGGTCGTGCAAATCAATCCAGTTTAACTAACTACAAATACTTGGGGTTCGGAAAACCAATAAATGGAAACTATGAAGTAACTCAGTAATGTTCACCGTTAACAACTGTGTCTACTTCTTAGCACAAAAATTCTGGAAAACTTTAACACCCTACCCTAAGTTTTTCTAGGGTGGGAACTAACTTTTTGTAGCAGCCTGAACAGGTGTATCTGTATGTTAATTTTTAACGAGATGCACAGGCTATTTTGGTGAAGAGTACCGCTTATTACATCTAGTATAGGCCACGAAGATACAACTAAAAGAATAGGTCTACATTTAGGGTTGCTATAGGGAAATTCGGATATCTGCGTACATATTATTTTGTCGAATTTCTTAATACAATTGTAAACACGACGTTACAAGTTATGTCACAAAGCATTTATGAATGACATCATTTCCTGACACTTCACTACTTCCCAAAACCCACAATCATCCAGAACAATAATTAAATAAATGCACAATATAGCTAATACCCAGCTAGCATTTTTTTTCGGCGCACTGCAGACTTTGGGACAAAAATCTTAGGGCGCATAAACATACGTGGGACAGTGTCCCTAAGTCTACCCAAAATGTCTGCAATGTGCCCTAAGTCTGTCCCAAAAAATCTGAAAAGCGCCCGAAAAAAATGCTCGCTGGGTAATTCAGCATGAACAGTACTCATGCTGTCCCTGACTGTGGACATGCAATTACATAAAATGGTATGCACGAGCGAGCACTTCATACATCTCTCCTTAATCATAGATAAAAATCGTTATTACTTTGTGTCATGTTAGGAACTCTATAAGAAGACTTAGGCATAGCTCCAGTGAGGGGTAAAAACGACACGATAAACTGAGATTGATGATGCCGCTTGCAATTATTGAGAAAAATTAACATGACAAACCACACAATCCGACATCTTACATCTCCAGTTTACCAAGATCATATGCAAGACGACAGCCTGTCGGCAGCCTGTAGACGGCCGTAATTTTGAGTGACCGCGGATGAGATAAACAAGCGATTCGCTCGGCTGAAATTATCCGTAACTTATCAAGGTCATTGGTGGAGTGAGACGCTCGAAGGTCATTTTCGTCCATATCAGTCGGCCATGTTGGATTGCAGTTCCGTAGCTGTTCGTCTACGCGTTTGTTGTTCCGTTTATGCTGCCGTTATACACGACTAATCTTGATGCGTATTGTTCACAAATGTTGCGTTTCACCTCATTTTTTGTTTCCGTTGCCGTTAAAATGAATTATTTCTTTGGTTTCGAAGCTTTTCACTACCAGGTCAGTGCATTCATTTCGGTGTAATTGTTTCATACCTTGTATTTATGCGGCTTTTAGTGTTTTATTTGATTTTCAGCTGTTAATGAATTGGCAATGTGTGGAAGTCTTGGAAATCATGCACGTGAAGACGTTTGGCTGGCAGAAGCAGTTGTTTTCAGTCCATTTATTGGTTGCCGTTATTCTTGTTGGCTGTAGATGTAGAAATCGTGAAAAAAAGTGTCTCTCTCGTTCATGTTTACAGCATGCAACAATCTGTGAGGGAATCTGTTAAAGGGAACACCATCAGAGTTGATGTTAGCAAAGTTTTCGAAGAACAAATTAAACGTGGAAAATTTAGAACCTGGGTTGAAGTTGAAAAAGCTTTGAAGCTTTTTGAGAATGTGAATATACCATCCGTGTGTCTGCTATCGTTTAAAAAATATATATATAGTGAGAAAATCTAAGTCAAATAAGGTTGAGCCGCATGAAAAGTATGAATCTGGGGAACTAAAAGAAACTGGAATCCTTAAGGGTAAGTGTTACTTATGCTTATTATTGCTTGATGTACTAGATCCAAATACATGAACTAGGACTACCCGTAATAGAGCCAGTGTTAACATCCATTCGATGGGTTGCAAAACGGTTTTCAAAGCGGATAAAATACGATTATCTGGTGAGTGTACGAACAATCCCAGTTAAAGGTAAGACATTAATTAGGAAGAATAAGGTTCCGGGTAGTAGTCTACGATCGGTGGTTTCCTCGAAGTTGAGATTTTTCCGTGACTATAAACACAGATGTTCACGATCTTTAAAAAAAACTAAATAAATTTTCCTTGAACCAGTAGTCTTCTTTTCTTTGGCGAAACATCCGTTGATACGATTATACGATTAGGTAGCGAAGTAAGATGTTATGTGACTGAGAATCGTGGTTGTCGTGTTTTGGACTAATTTCGCGCATCTGGCTGTTATAACCGCAATAGGTTCATCAAACAAAAATACAATTGGTTATGGACGACTTCCCCCTGACCTACAGTGTACTGCTTTCTCCCTGATAAATAAGAATGAAGCCATCTAACAATCCAATACTCAGTTTGAGTTTCAGCAAGCTTATCTGACAGAATATCTCTAGGTACTGAGTCGAAAGCAGATGTGTATTCTAGGAAGGTGCAGCGAATTTAGCCCCATTGTCTACACTGGGGAAAATATTGTGATACAAGACTGCAACTGCATCTAAAGTACTTCTACTGTGTTTATAGGAGAATTGTTTGGGATCGTTAAAGGCTTTAAGTGAAGGTCGAAAATTAAGTAAGAGTAAATTTTCCTTAGTTCGTATATACGTCATTTGCATTGAAACCAAGGAAGCAACTATTATTAACACTTGTGACACCAGAAACCTTAGCATTTGTGGGAGAATTTATGGAAGACTTGTTTAGTGTACACACATCAAATGAATAGGGAATACTGGAGGTAATTAGATGCATGAAGGCGTAAGTTATTAAATATCCATAAAGTAGATATGCAAATACCGCAGTTGTTGATCATAGAAATGATGGATATTAGATAACATCGCATGATTCAACGGCATATTAGAAATAAATAAAAATTGTTTCTGAGCTCATTGTCAAGTGAAGTCTATTTGATGATGTCACTGCATATTAACAGATTAGTGAAGTAGATATCAAGCCTAAGTTACTACATTTACTTGTACTACATACTTGGCGTTTAACAGTATACAGGCTTGCAACTGGCTAGATAAGGCGACTTTAGAGTATCAAACAGTACAGAATTATTATTCAACTTGCTAAATCCCACTTAGCTTTTACAATGTGCTATTGTGTAGAAACAGACACGAAATCCTACTAATGACTAAAGTAACATTCTCATAATACTACAGTGAATTTCCATCCCACTAACTAGGCTTAGCGTTTATTATTCCTAATTCACTTATTACAAAAGCACATAGTATAACGAGGAATTGAAGAAGTCTACAGGAAGAAGTAATCAAGAGTATATTAAACATTTGATTAATTTACAAAAGAAAATTCTGATAAAGGGTAATAAAGTTAGTTTGACCGAATGATGTTTCCGCTGATTTCATATTCGACAACCTCCGTATACCTGGAAAAAATAAAGTACATGTAAGAACTAGCATAACATGAAGTTACAAGAGATAATTCTGCATATTAGCATATACTATGAATACACTTATTCTGTTAACACTAAGTAATATCTCATGCAGATAAATGTATTTGTAATCTACAGCTGATTTTTATGTTGACGCCGTATACATAAATATACATCATATGTTTTCCTGCATTTCAGGACTATATGCAAATTTCAAGGCAATCTCCGAAACATTCATACTATTGAGGCGTCATTCTCTCATCAAGCTTACTTGCAGATCAACTTCACACTAAACACTTTTACATGAAATGAAGTATTGCAAGTGTATAACTTAGGAGTTAATCCACAATCTCAGTAATGTCTAGTCCACAAGGTTTTGTGAATCCTACAGAAATCACATTTTCACATTTAGGAGACTATAGGCATCAAATATAAGCTGAACATGCCTCAACTCTAGACAGCTATGCACAGTGCTAACAACATAGTGAAACACTTCAACTATTGTAAAGTACACAGACCTGTTGTGTTGATGAGGATAATAATGTCATATAATGCAAACTAGAAAATTCAATCGTCATAGAGCATCTGTACTGCTTTGTCTAAATGGAAATCTCAGGAGAAATTTATCTCCACTATTGGTGATCAAAAATATTGCAGCATTAAGTATACAGTCAGTGGAAATTGTAAAAGAGAATAAATTCATATTAATGATAATAAAGCTGAATAGATTCAGTTCTAGTAACCACCTTCGTTTGTTATCCTATCAGTCAGCTTAGTACACAATGGCACAATATTATTATAGTTGAGATATTTTTGTACATTTAATTAACATAACCCATAGCACACTGCACCAACCAGTGCCAATATATATGAAATCCATTTAGAGATAACCTTTCAACTTACCATAATTCCTGTCCAACCACAGATAAAGTTAAAAGCACATCTAAATGACAACTTAGGTTCCCACCAACGATTCTGATAACATTTGCAGGTGATTTCCAAGTATTGAGGGAATTATTTTGTCAAAAAAGACTGTTCTTCACACGAAAATAGGCTGTACTGATATCCTGAGACATGAAGTCTTCATTGAATGATACTATGCCGAAAGATGCAGCTTCTACATGGAGTAAATGAGTGGTGTAAATGGCATTACCCTCTAACTATCCTATCTCCCTCATTACACCGACATTTTGATACATTCCATCTGAAACACTAATCATTGCAACCAATATGCTAAAAGTGTGTCGCAGTCAGATCACATGAGGCGGACACCAACATAACCAGCCAAAAAGTGGGAATTTCCCTCAATCTAGATAACATATAATAAAATTTTATTAAAAATTATTGGCAAAAAAAATTCCAAACGTAACTTCTAGAGTACGTGACGAATAAATCCAGCCATTCGCTCGCTAGTGATTGGCCAGTTTATCACTCGAGTTGAGGTAATTTCAAACATCATTTTGCTGCTTGGTTAGGTTAAGTGAAAACTATTGGGCTACTTATATATATATATATATTGTTTGTAAAGTGATTACTTGTAAATGCTTATCAGGAAAAATTTTTATTCAGATCATGCATGTAATACCCAAGTTAATTATGCTTTTCTTAAACCTTTTCAGACTTATGGAAAAACATATATGTGCCGTGTACGCCTATGGAACTTACTGACGGTAACAGAGGACTACTCATCTGAATTATCTGTACATTTGAAATCTGATTTTTGTTTAATAAACAATTTTTCAATGAATCTGTCTTCCTTCTGTTGTAATGCGATTGTGTTCCAGTAACATAAGTAGCACGTGCTAAGTTAGAAGTTGAGGGTGAACTGTTAGGAGTAAATGCGGCGTCTGGAAAACTTTTGTTTACGTGATTATATGAGCAGATAGCAACGTATCGTGTTCTTTGGCTGAGAACCCTAGGCATTCTTTTTTTAATTATTACGATGACCGTAGTTGCACTGAGTCATATATCTAACAGCACAGGTATAGTCTCTCCTTATGGTACACTGCAGCATGCCAAAATCACAAGCAAACTATCTCAGGTAGATTTACTCTCACTTTGTGACTATGAATCGCGAATCAGTATATGTATTCTGCTAAGACAATAGATAACTCGAAACGCTTTATAATCGCAATACCTCCTCTACGATTTAGACAGATTTACTTTATTTGACTACAACATGATGTTTTACCAATAGGCTTCTCTGAATATCTGCTCCTACTTAGTATTTCAAAGATAGCCTCATATACTCTATACCTCACAAATTACGCAAGGGCTAATATTCGGTCTTATCAAGTAGAATAAACAAACGAATAACGAGGAATACATTTATTAATGAATTAACATGTAATACAAAATCGACAACAGTGCAGGTATCTTTTTCTTTATCACCCACATCCATGAAATTCCCGAAAGTAGATATTATCTGAAAAAGAACAAAAGAATTATACAGATGTAGACATTGTTATCAGTGTAAACAAAATAATTAACCATGAAATATGTTTGAAACGACGAAATAATTGAATTGTATATAATTACGTCAGTAAACATTTTTCAATAATACAAAATCGATATTGCACCCGCCTGCAAACGTCAAGTTTATGTCATAAAATAAGGAAATACAATGCGCATATA